TTTCCAGGCTTCTTTCAAGACTTAGTTCAAATTTCACTTTCTGCAAGAGAATTTTCCTGGTATGCTTCCCATCAATCTCCTCACTCCCCACTTTGTGGGGTGTGATTCCCCTGATTTATAGTTGTTTACATATTATCTCCTCCATTAGAATTAGCTTCTTGAGGGCAGGGATTGTGTTTTAGCATGTGTTCCCCCCCTCCCCCATCCCCAATATTTAGTGTTCAGCACACAGCAAGCACTTACATGCTTTTTTGACTGATTGACAAGTTCTATTCAACTTTTTCTTTACTCCTAATTTCATAATGTAATGGAGTTCTAGTGCATATACAGACCCCATCAACTTGATAAAGATGGCATCTCTGTGTGGAAAAAACTCTTCCAGGAAGATGGTGATGACTGCAGTATGTCTGAATATTCTATAACTCATTCTCGTTGGCCTTTCATATGACTGGGAGGACCTTTTTTCGTTGGATATGTAGCCAGAATCTTGGGTATTTTTGCAAGTGTCTGAGTCAGCTCCAGCTATCTTTTTGCTGCATTTGAATCTGGAGGTGACTCCTTCACTCATGAGCAAACCATGGTTTAATGAAAAAGTCTCCAAGGGCTTTTCTAAGGCCATAATGCCACCTAAAAATAGGTCTGGGTCCTTAGCCTTGTCTTTCTTTTTTCCTTTTTCTAGGTGAAGAGAGTTTGGATTACAATCTAATGAAATCAAAAGGTCCAGAAGTATCCCTGACTTCTATTCACTCTAGGGTTTATATTTGAAGCCAACACAGTCATAAGGAAAAAAGGATGACTTTTGATTGTGACTTTTGAGAACCTAGGTCTTCAACAGCTGAAACACAGCCTTATCCAATGGTCATGCCACCTTTGTACATGAACATGATAGGACCTATGTTATATAGGAACTGAGATAAATTATGAGCCTAATCCCCCAACCCTAAGACTGAAGTTGTATAAAGGGAATTTTGCCTTGAGGTTTTTTGTTCTTTTTTTTGTTCTATTTTTGTTCTTCCTGTATCTTTGAAGTAAATATTCATTTGTAAAAGCTACTCTACATTAAATGGTTAAATGGAAGTTCCATACCCCCTAAACATGAGGGGAAACACAACCAGTCAAGAATCTAGCCAATGGTAGATAAAAGAAATACTCACAATCATCTCAGAGTACACCTAGAATCCAGAGGGGGCAGATGCAGCTTGTAGCTGTCTATTAGAGAGAGGGATTAGAACATTTTTTGGTACAATAAGATAATAGAATTAGAGTTGGAAGAAATCTTAAAAGCATCTTCCAAATGCCTTCATTTTATAAAAAGAGAATTTAAAACCTGGGATATTTAGATGAAAAGAAAAGACTTGAAATGGAGAGAGACATGAAGGATTTCTCCATGTCTTTGAATGGTTAATATGTGGAAAAAGGCTTAGACTTGTTTTGCAAGTTGTAATAAGGTAGATTTTGTCTCAGTATAAAGAAAAACTTTTTAAGAATTAAAGCTATCCAAAGGTAAAATGAACTGCCTCTGGAGGTTGTGAGTATTCCCCACTTGATGTTTGTATGCAGGGTTATATTACTTACAAAAAAAAAAAGTAGAAGGAAATCTGTAGTTGTATTTGTACTACAACTTCCTCTGCAAACATTTGTATGACTAGCTGGAAGAAAAGTGAAATGTCACATGATGGGAACAGAATGCTTTGTAAATAGTCTCTAACAGTTCTGAGAAAAAAAAAAAAAGACTTAGCTTCTGACCTGGAGAGGCTTACCCCTTGATAGACTCTGGTCTTTATGCAGTCCTACAAGCTAATGGAGCCAGTTAGAGATCCTGTCCCTAAACCAAATATCTAAGAGGAAAAAAAAGTGACCCAATTATAATCCTAGGATGATCTTTTTGTTGTTTTTTTTAAAAATTTATTTAAATTTTTAAAGCTTTTATTATTTTATTTTTCCCCAGTTACATGTAAAAACATTTTTTAACATTTGTTTTTAAAATTTTGAGTTCCAGATTCTCCCCCTTCCTTTCTCCCCAATCTTCTCATTGAGAAGGCAAGCAATTTGATATAGGTTAAATATGTGTAGCCATGCAAAATATATCCATAGTAGTCATGTTGTGAAAAAAAAAACAAGACCAAAAAACCTCAATAAAAATAAAGAAAGTAAAAGAAATATGCTTCAATATGTATTCAGATACCATGAGTTCTTTCTGTGGGGATGGATAGCATTTTTCATGATAAGTCCTTCAGAGTTGTCTTAGATCGCTATATTGATGAGAATAGCTGGTCATTCACAGCTGATCATCTTACAATATTGCTGTTATTTGTATACAGTACATTTTACTTTGCATCAGCCCATGCAAGTCTTTCCAGGTTTTTCTGAGAGCATCCTGCTCTTATTTCTTATAGTACAATGCTATTCCATCATACTCACAAACTACAACTTCTTCAGCCATTCCCCAATTGATCGGCATCCCCTCAACTTTTAATTCTTTTTTATTTTTTGTTCATTCAATAAGTTCTTTTTATTTTTAACTTTTATTGCATTTTATTAGTCTTCTCAATATTATGGGTATGAGTTTATACCCCAATGTTCTTTTAATTTGCGTATCTTTGATTATAAAGGAGAAAAAGCATTACTTCAAGTGAATATTTCAGTTAACCAAAATTTATTTTCTCTACCTCCTACCTCTTCACCTCCAGTTAAAAAAAAACAAAACCTTATAAGAAGTCTGTATTGCCAAGCAAACCAAATTCCTTTATTGACCATGTCTATAACTCTCTCTTTCTAAACAGAGTCCATCACCTCAGGAGATGGGTAGCAGGTTTCATCACCATCCTTTGGAAATGTGATTGGTCTTTACATTAATCAGATTTCTTAAGTCTCTTAAAGTTGTTTGTCTTTACAATATTATTGTTATATAAATTGTTTTCCTGGTTCTGCTCACTCTACTCTGCTCAGTTCATACAAGTCTTCTGAGGATTTTCTGTAATCATCCTCTTCATCATTTCTTCTTCTTTTTTTAATGAATATTTTTATTAATTAATTTATTTTACTTTTCAACAATCACTTCCACAAGCTTTTGACTTTTAAATTTTCTCCCCTCTTCCCCACACAAGATGGTGTGCAATCTGATATATATGTGTATACATATATATATATATGTACATTCCTATCAAACATTTTCACAATAGTCATATTGTAAAGAAGAATTATAAACAATAGGAGGAACCACAAGAAAGAAGAAACAAAACAAAACAGAAGGAAAAAAAAGAGCAACCAGTATGCTTCAATCTGCATTCAGACTCCATAGTTGTTTCTCTGGATGTGGATAGCATTTTCCATCATGAGACTTGATCCATACATTGCTAAGAAGAGCTAAGTCTATCAAAGTTAGTCATCACACAATGTGGCTGTTACTGTGTATGATGTTGTCCTGCTTGTGCTCATTTCACTCAGCATCAGTCCATACAAGTCTTTCCAGGTTTTTCTGAAGTCTGCTTGCTTATATTTCTTATAGCACAATAGTATTCCATTACATTCATATACCACAACTTGTTCAGCCATTCCCCAGTTGATGGGCATCCCCTTGATTTCCAATTCTTTGCCCTCACAGAAAGAGCTGCTATAAATATTTTTGTTCATGTGGGTCCTTTTCCCATTTTTATGATCTCTTTGGGATACAGCCCTAGAAGTGGTGTTGCTAGGTCAAAGGGTATGCACATTTTTATAGCCCTTTGGGCATAAAACATTTCCTTTTTTTTTCTTTTTGGCAAGGCAATTGGATTAAGTAACTTGCCCAGAGTCACATAGCTAGTAAGTGTTATGTGTCTGAGGCTGGATTTGAACTCAGGTACTCCTGACTCCAGGGCTGGTTCTCTATCTACTGAGCCACCAAGCTGCCCCACAACTTCTAATTCTTTATTCCCAGAAAAGAGTTGTTATAAATAATTTTGTACATAGAGGTCTTTCTCCTTTTTATTTTTAATCTCTTTTGGGATACAGACCTTGTAGTAGTCATAAGTATGCATGGTTTTATAGCCCTTTGGGCATAGTTCCAAATTGCTCTCCAGAATGGTTGAGCACAACTCCACCAACAATGCATTAAAGTCTCATTTTTCCCACTTACCCTCCAACATTTGTCATTTATCTTTTCTGTCCTATTAGCCAATCTAATAGATATGAGGTATTACCTCAGAACTGTTTTAATTTACATTTTTCCAATCAATAGTGAGTTAGAGTATTTTTTCATATTGCTATAGATAGCTTTCATTACTTCATCTGAAAACTGAAAATATCTTTTGATCATTTATCAATTGGAGAATCACTCTTATTTTTATAAATGTGACTCAGTTCTCTATGTGTTTGAAAAATGAAGCCTTTATTAAAGAAATTTACTTCAAAAATTTTTTGAGTTACTATTGCTGTTGTATTTCCCTCCATCCTATCCCCCCATTTATTCTATTCTCTTTCTCCTTTCATCCTGTCTCTCCTCAAAAGTGTTTTGCTTCTGACCACCCCCTCCTCCAAACTACCCTTCCTTCTATCACCACCCCCCCTTCTCTTAGCCCCTTCTCTTCCTATTTTCCTGTAGGTTAAGATAGATTTCTATACCTAAATGTGTGTGTGTTATTTCCTCTTGAGTCAATTCTTTTTTTTTTTTTGTGAGGCAATTGGAGGTAAGTGACTTACCCAGGGTCATACAACTAGTAGTGTTATGTGTCTGAGGCCGGATTTGAACTCAGGTCCTCCTGACTCCAGGGCTGGTGCTCTATCCATTGCATCACCTAGCTGCTCCTCTTTGAGCCAATTCTGATGAGAGTAAGGTTCACTTACTCCCCCTCACTTTCCCCCTCTTCCCTCCACTTTAAAATCTTTTTCTTGCCTCTTTTATGTGTGATAATTCCGCCCCTCCCCATTCTACCTTTCCCTTTTTGTTTTTCCAGGACATTCTTCTCTCACCCCTTAATTTTATTTTTTAGATATCATCCCTTCATTTTCAACTCACATCTGTGCCCTCTGCCTATATACAGATATGTATGTATGTATGTATGTATATACACATATATGTATGTATATGCACACATACACACACACACACACACACACACACACACACACACACACACACATATATTCCTTCTAACTAATTTGGAGCCCAAATTTTTAAAAATTGTTTTCACATGCAACTGGGAAATAAGATATACAGGAAATGGGGTATAGAAATCAATCCTGCCCTACAGGAAAAGTGAAGTGGAAGGGGATAAGAGAAGGGGGGGAGAGATAGATGGGAAGGCAGAATAGGAGAAGGGATATTCAGAATGCATGCCATCTTGGGGTGGGGGGAGGGACAAGATGGGGAGAAAGTTTGGAACTCAAAATTTTGTGGAAGTGAATGATGAAAACTAAAAAATAAATAAATTAATTTTAAAAAATAAATTAAAAAAATAAAGTAGGGCTCTGTTTTTAGGGTGGAGGGTGCACTGTCCCAAGCTTAATGGGTTTTGTGCAGCTGTTTTCTGAGATGCCTCTAGAGACCTGTAAGTTTTCAGTTCTTCCAAGGTCATGTGATCTAAGGAGAGGTGTTTACTACTCTTCTAGCCTGTGCTTTGATCTATGAGCCACCAGAAAAATATTTTTTTCTGTCCTGGAACTGTGAGGAGGGCCCCCCTCCACTGTTGATGCAAGCTCTAGTGTGCTAATGCTCCTCCTCACCATGGCACTGCTGCCCAGGACTGTGACCTGGATATGAGTATGGGCAAAGCAACAGAGTCTTATCTCAGTGCTTAGCAAGAAGACTCTTGTAATCTCCTTCTGACCAGTTGTTTGACCCCTTTATCGTCTGTGGGCTAAGAGCTCTAGAAAAAAACTACGGCAGCTGCTGATTCAGTCACTCCCAGGACCTGCTCCTGGTTTGCTGTGGCCAGGCCTATGCCGGCGGGGCCTGTGTTGGAGTGTGCTCCACTTTCACCCAGGTGCAGCAAACTTTTCCTGCTGATCTTCTAAGCTGCCTTTGGCATCTGTGGGCTGAGAGGTCTGGAAACTGTCATTGCTGCCAGTGATTCAGTTGCCCTGAGGCTTGCTCTGGGTTTTCTGGGGCCCAGTCTGCACATGCACTGGACTATGCTCTTCTCTCACTCTTGTGCAACAGACCTATCCTGCCAACCTTCCAGTTTTCTTGGGTTAAAAATTTGTTTTACTCCATCTTTTTGTGGGTTCTGCTGCGTTAGAATTTATTTAGAGTCATTTTAAAAAAGTGTTTGGAAGAATTTGGGGGAGAACTCAGGTGAGTCCCTGCCTTTACTCTGAAGATGCCTCTGCCTCCCCTAGGATGATTTGTGACCTTGTTCAAATCACTTAACTTCTATGGACCTCAGTTTCTTCAAGTATAAAGTCAAAGAGTTGTACTTAATGGCCTCTAAGGTCTCCTCTAGCTTTCCATATATGATCCTATGATCCCTGGTTCCCTTCACTTCAGTGTCCAGATTTATTAGGTGATCAGTTTTAGAGGAAGAAGTTTAGTTCTTTAGCTTTGTCTTTTGAACTCTGGGCCCTGGCCTTCTTCACAACTGTATTCTTTTTCGAGTTTGGATTAGAACAGATTATTTCCTAGGACCTCTTTGTCTCTGAGATTTTATGATTCTATTTGACAGAGGATTTTTGGTCTTTTCTTTTATGGGGACAATGTGACAGGATATTTGAAATTCAGACGGTCTGAAAAAAATCTAAATTGGAGAGACCTGTAATGGTCTATAGTATGGCTATGATTAGAAGATCCTCTTTGGTCAATGATATAAATAATTAAGAAATAGAAAAGAGGAAGAGAGAACTCTTCTGTTTTTTCAAAAAGAGTTTGGTATTGTCCCTAGCAGGTGGATGATACTCAATAAATACTGTTTGTCATACCCAATGATTCCTGGCTCTGAATTTCATATGTTTTATATAGCTTCTTTTTCATGAATTGTGAAAACAGCTTTTGGTGATGGATATGGTTTAAAACAGGAAGAGGAGAAAGTAAGGAGGACTCAGCATTTTGAAAACCAATTTTTGGAATCCTTCTTCTGATCTGAAGTCCTTCTGTTTATCTGTTTCCTCTGCGCAGGGAAAAGAGAGGGCCCAATGGGTAACAAACGTTTCCTACCCAAGTTACAAGAATTATAGACAATTCTCCTAGTTCAGGTTGAGACATATGTCTTCCAGGGTGTTACAGAGCTACTAAAGATCCATGGAGGAATAGGGATACTGAAGGCCAAAGTCCAGAAAAGTAAATTTTCCATCTGACTGCTCTGTGTGGGTATGGGCCTATAAACTTTGTTACAAAGAAGGAAGAAGTAGTGCCTGACCTGTAAAGAGGTATTGGATAGAGAACCTTCTTTTCCTTAAAAAGAAAAGTATGGTGAATAGCCAATATCTGGGCTCTTATGTTATATGCTCAGTTGAGCTATCATATCATGGTTCGTTGAAATAGTGCTTGGGTAATAGGTGGTTACCCCTGCAGAGAGTGTTGGAGACAGAAACTAATGTGCCACTGCTTGAGACTATAGCTCATTTATAGATCTGACCATAATACCATCAGCTCAGCCTGGGAAGGCCACAATGTTTGCATACATTTTATGTTCTCATTGATGAAGGAAAATCATCCTAACATTCTAACATGAAAATATCTATGATCTTTATGGCTTGTGTTTTGTTCAGTCATTTTTTTCAGTTGTGTCTGATTCTTTTTGACCTCATTTGAGATATTCTTGGCAAATATACTAGAGTAGTTTGCCATTTCCTTCTTCAGCTCATTTTACAGAACAGGAAACTGAGGCAAATAGGGTTAAATGACTTGCCTAGGTTCACACAGCCAGTAAGTGTCTGAGGCCAGATTTGAACTCAGGAAGATGAGTCTTCCTGATTTCAGTCACTGTGCCACCTAGCAGCCCATAGGCTTGTGTGCCTATGCTTATGTCTTGTATGTACATACTCATGTGTACACATTCCTGATGTATATGTATACGTGTGTGTGTGTGAGAGAGAGAGAATTAAATGTGAAGTATTTCTCCTTGTATATTCTATTTGCCTGATCAGAACTTGTGTCTGCCTGTACAAGGATAATTTATGTATAGAAAAGCACCTTAACTTAGAGTGGGGAGAGAGAGGATGATACAGAAAGAGAAGAGGAAAGAAAAGAGGAAAGGACAGGAGAGAAGAAATTGAAAGACTGACTAGGAGCAAAGAAGAATAGTGAAAAGAGAAGGAAGGGAACAGGAGAAGTTCATACTTTTAGCTTACCTAAAAACTTCTTATTATAGTTTTAGTCCATTCCGTTTTTTTCTTCCTTCAGTAGACAACTCATTGGGTTGTCCATGCTTAGAAATTTATTTTTGTGATAGTTATACTATTGTCCCAGTCACTTCCAGACTCAGTGTCAGCCCAATGACCCATGTAAATGAGAATATGGGCTACTAGCAATGAAAAGTCAGGAAGTGTGGCAGAGAAAAGCCTTGGCTTACTCTTTCCCAAGTGTTCAAGTTCCTGGGTTGAATTCATGCTATGTTTCTTCTATTTTTTTTTTTTGATGGAGTGAGGCATATAACTAGGTGAATACTCAGGCACTGGAGAGATATCTGAGGTGGGCATCAGTATAAATGTTTCCTGGCTCTCTCTCTCTCTCAGCATTTATATTATATGTAATGTGTATATATATATATATATACACACACACACACATATATATACATACATGTTTGTGTTCAGCATTATGAACACAGACTATATTTATATATATAAAATCTGTGCTCAATAATACTTGTTAAGGATATATCATAAACTCCTCTGAGAATAGGGACAATGTACTATGTGTTGTTGTACTATGAGGTTAACCTCATTGCTCTCTTGGTTCTCACCTCCTTGAATGAACTCTAAGAATGCTGCAGGATTCAGAGACATAGCTAGGTGATCAGAAAGGGATGAAAGGTTCGTGAAGTTGAAGCCTCAAAAGTCATCTCCAATAGTCCTCTGTAAGGTTTCAGATTGAGGAGGTTGAGGCATCTAACTGTTCAGCTTAGGCCTTTTCTAGATACAGCATGTTGCTATAACTCTATTATTTGCAGATTTGCCTGATTTTAGGCAAAGTTTTAGGACTGATGTTTTTCACTGTGGTAATCCCCACTGTATCCACAGTGAAACAAATCAGGCTAGAATGACATCCTGGGTCTGGACTTCCAAGGTGAAGGGAGCCAAGGCCTTGAGCTCAGGCTCCCTTTTTGAAACTTCAGTCTGGTTGCAGAATAGTCATTGATTCCATTAGCTTCCAGAACCATGAGAAAGTGTGCCAGTGGGAAACCTCTGTAACACAGTAGCTTAGTTGGTTTTTCTTTGAGCCCAGCCTTGAGAGCTCATTTAGTCCCAATGCCCTCATATGCCTTTTCATTTCCTATACATCTATTCAGATAAATGACTTGGCAGATATTAGGAATAGAAAAGATGGAAAAAATAGTTTCCAGTAGTCTTCCACTGGTCTTCAGGTTGAAGTCACATTAGTTCCTCAGATCAGCCCTCCACACGCCTGTTTTTCCAGGGCAGGTGATTATGATTTTTCAACTTGTTGCTACAAGAGAAACATTTAGAATTAGTGTTTGTCACTGTGGTAGTTGCTATATCCACAGTGACACAGACTAAGCCAAAATCATGTCATAGATCTTGAGACTGAGCTAAAGGGAACCAAAGATCACAGGATCATAGACTTAGAGCTGAAAGAGATCTAAGAGGCCTTTTAGTTCAAATCCCTGATTTTATAGATGAGAAGACTGGGGTCAATGGAAGTTCAAGCATTGTGCCGTGGAGCAGCCCATAGGCTTGTGTGCCCTTGCTTATGTTTGGTATGTATCAATATGTACCCATCCCTGAGTATATATGTATATGTGAGTTGTGTGTGTGTGTGTGTGTGTGTGTGTGTGTGTGTGTGTGTGATAAATGTGAAGTGTTTTTCCTAGCATGTTCTGTTTGCCTGATCAGAACTTGTGCCTGCCTGAGCAAGGATTTACATACAGAAAAGCACAAGTTCACAAATCACCTTAGGATTGGAGCTGGGTCCTTTCCTTTTTTCTTGCACATTTCAGCCCAGGGACACTTTCTCTAATTGGCTCCATTAACTTCCAGAACTGCATATAGGCCAGAGTCTGTCGTGAAAGAAATCAGTGGCCAAGCTAAGTCTTTTTCTTCTTTCTGAGACTTAGAGATTCATTTATAAAGCTTTCTGCTCCTACCCCCATCATATTACATTCCACTTCTCTCACTGCAATTCATAGAAATGGCAGAATATACATTAGCTGCTGAAGTGACCTGAAAAATTATATTCAACCATCCTCAGGTGGAGAATGGAGTGGCATTAGGCTCTCAGTTCAGCTCTATGTTTTAGAGAAAGTTTTAGATTCAGAATTTGTCACTGTGGTAATACCAGCTACCGTAATAATCACAGTGACACAGAACAGGTCATAAACATCCCTTAATCTCTGTTGATCTAGCCTGACCCCTGGTGTGAAAAGAGAAGAGGTCCATAGGTCAGAATCACTCTTGAAACAGAAATATACTTTTTCATTTTTTCTGTACTCTATTCTGGAGAAAAAAAATCTTGACTGAATCCCAACAGTTCAAAGCTGGAAAAGGAGTCTGTTAGGAGGAAACCCCTAATCAGGAGATAAGCCTATTTCCCATCTTCCAAGAAACCCCAGCCTCACATCAACCCCATAAAATTCAGGGGGTCTGCGAACTTGTTTTTTAAAAATATCTTGATAATTCTATTTCAACATAATTATTTTCTTTTGCCTATATATTTTTATTTACAAATTTAATTACACTATTCTGATCATAGGTTCATAGTCTTCACCAGATTGCCAAAAAGGTCCATGACACAAAAAAGATTAAGAAACCCTGCCAGAAAGATATATTTACACAACAACCAACTTCCAGATGCAAATCACATTGCATTGCTTCCTCTTACTTGTCACCATTCTTTAGATAAATGGGTTTGAAGGGAGCTTTGGAACATATTTCCAACAAGTTTCTGCAGTTGGAGGAGAGGCACACTGGACCACATTTTAGCTTTCTAGATACTTGAACTCTGAGCCTTCTACAGGGATTAGTAGCCTTGGCTCCATGGACTAGTTTGGGAGAAAGTTCATATCCAGTGTTTGTCACTGTGTAGATATTCTAGTATATCCGTAGTGAAAGAGATGTTAGAATCATCTCTAGACTGACCTTAGTCCAGCCTGGCTCAGGGGGAAGAAAACCTGGGGATGGAACTTCTGGGTCAGAATTGTATAATTATTACCTCTATCTATTTCAGGGCAGGGTCTATTGCAGGAAGATCCTTGAAGGCAGTAGCCCCATATATTTCTCTCTTTGTTACAAAATCTAGAATTCTCCTGTGCACCATGTATATATGAGGGAAATTGAAACCTTAAATAACACCTTCAGTCCATTAAGCTCACAGCCTCACCATCTTTCACTCCCATATCTATGCTGTTGCCAAGGTCTATTGATTTCACCTTTGCAATGTCTCTCCAATATGGCCTCTTCTCTCCTCTGATGTTGCCATCACTCTGGTGCAAGCCCTTATGCTTGGATTTATTGCAATACCTTACTGATAGGTCTGCCTGTCTCAAGTCTCTCACCACTCCAATCTATTCTCTATTTAATTATTAAATTATTAAAATTATATTTAATTATTAAATTAATTATCAAAATTATTCCTAAAGTTCAGGTCTGATCATGTCAACCCTCTACTCAATAAAGTCCAGTGGTTTCCCATTGCCTCTAGTAGCAAATGTAAAATGCTATGTTCAGCATTCAAAACCCTTCGTAATCTAAACCCCTTCCTACTTTTCCTGTCTTCTTACACCTTACTCTCTGAATCATCCTCTTCAATCCAGTGACATCGGTCTCCTGACTGTTCCGTGAAGAGGACACTCAGGAATTCTCTTTGGCTATTCCCCACACCTGGAATGCTCTTCCCTCCTTCACTCTGACTCTCTGGCTTCTTTTGTCACAACTAAAATCTCACCTTCTACAGGAAACCTTTCTCTCTTAATTCTACTTCCTTTCCTTTATTAATTCCTGTTTGTCTTGTATATAACTTATTTGCATATATTTGTTTGCTAGTTGTTTCTCCCATTAATTGTGAGTTTCTTGAAGGCTGGTACTGTCTTTTGCCTCTTTTCATATCTCCAGTGCTTAGCACAGTTCCTGGCACATACTAAGCACTTAATAAATTCTTAATAATTAATAAATGTTTATTGATTGATTGCTCATGTGGGAAGTGATGTTGAAAAGCTGCACATAAGATTATTGGGAGGTTTCTGACAAGTCCTGAAAGGAAATGTGAAGCTCTTTTCATAGGGTCTGAATGATATGATATTGAAAAAACAATATTTAGTATTCTGCTTTTAAATTCCCAAGTTTTGCTCATTTATGTGGGCATAGTACCTCCCAACAAAGATCTGATGTTATTACAATACAGACTTATTCTCCTGCCAGCTGCTGCCTTAGTTTTTGTAATAGGACCTGACACTGTGTAATCCGTAGTTACACAGTATTAAATCACTATGAAGAATCCTCAGGTGCTTGAGCAGGCAGGAAGCAGAGATGGTCATGGATGGTAATTAAGCCCTGACCTCTAATAAGCAAAGTGAGCTATGACTAGATTATGTTGCCCTTCAGGATCCCCTTGCCTTTTGGAGAGGGGGAAATACCCATTCTGTTTTTAGATGTACAAGGGCGAAGACTCACCATTTCTTGTTTATTTAATCATATGTTCTGTATTGTTCCTCAATCTGAACTCCCTTTGAATTCTGTTACTCTGACCAATACTGTGGAGAGAAACACCAGGAGAGAGAAATGTCTCATATTTACTTGGTTTGAATATGGATTTAATCAATATATGTGGAGTTCTGTCCTGATGTTTTCAGGAGACTGAGGTTGAGAGCTGGTCTCTCTCTGTTTTATGATGATATGCGTGGCCAAATCTCAGCCCTGGTCATGTATTTGCTGTGGGGTTTATCACAATGGTATACACTACTCCACTCTCACTTCATGACAGTCCCATGACAAATCCATAAGTCACAGGTCCTGAGCCTTCCTTAGAGCCTGAAAAGAACAAGATCATTTTGAGTCTCTCATTTTATTTTATTTATTTATTTAAAAATATTTTAATTGTTCCAATCAGTGAAAATCTGCCTTCTAACCCCACCTTCCCATTTGGAACACAACAAAAACAAAACCTGTGATACAAGCATGCAGTGTCAAGTAAAACAGATCGCACATTGGCCATGTTCAAAAGATACTGTCTCCTTATTCACCAAGTCCCTTATCTCTCTATCATGGGTATCATGTTTCAAGAATCCTTTGGAGGTGCAGTTGATCACTGTGCTCATCAGAATACCTGAGTCTGTCACAATAGTTTGCTTTTACCATATTATTGTCATTGTATGAATTGTTCTCTTGGCTCTGTTTGTTTCACTCTGTATCAGTTCATAAAACCCTTACCAGGTTTCTCTGAAAGTCTCTCCATTTCTTACATCATAATAGTATTCCAACATATTTATATACCATAACATACTCATCCATTCACCAATTTATGCACCCTATCTCAGATACCCATTCTTCGCTATTTCAAAAAGCAATAAATATGTTTGTACATCCTTAGAGTTTGTTGTGCTTAGGACTAATTCCTTCTTTGATCTACCCTCCCTCTAATTCCCCTTTCTATTTCTCCATTCAATGAAATATCTTTCTGCATGAACTCTGTGTGTGTGTTGCGTGCCTTCCTTGGACCAGTTCGGATGACAATGAAGTTCAAGTGTCAGCTGCTCCCCCTACCCCTACCTCCTTGTTGGTAGAGATGTGAGATAATTTTTTTTTACTAACCTTTCTTTCTTTCCCTGCCCTCACCCCAGTGTATTTCTCTCTTTACATTCTTAAGATCATCAAGACATAACAGAATAACTCTACTAGCCATATCTAATTAGACTCCCGCTAAGATCCTTGATGAAGATTAGGTTCAAGGGATACATGTGTCATATTTTACTGAAAGTAGTCTATCCTTGTTTAACTCTAATCCTACTTTCATTGTTCATTTTTATTTACTTTTTAGGTTTTTCTTCAATCCTGCGTTTGAATTTCAAGTTTCTATACAACTCTGGTGTTTTCATCATGAATGCTTGAAATCCTTCTGTTTCAATAAAGGTCTATTGATGAGCTCCCTCCCTCCCTGCACCTGCCCCTTACAGTATAGTCAGTTTTACTGAATATTTTATTCTTGTCTTTAGGCCTATATCTTTTGCCTTCTGAAATATTGTACTCTAAGTTATCCACTCCTTTATAGTAGTGACTGTTAAATTATGTGTTATCCTAACTGTGACTCTGTTACTTAAATTTTATTTTTTCTTCTACTTGGAAAGTTTTTTAACTGGAAATTGTACTTTTTTTATTCTAGATTTTAATTATGATTTTCCTGGGAATTTTCATTTTGGGGTATTTATTTTTACTTTGCCCTCTTTTTCTAAGAGCTCTGGACAGTTTTCTTTTAAGATTTCTTGAAATATGATGTCCAGGGTCTTGTTTTTGGTCATGGTATTCAGATAGTCCAGTGATTCACAACTGTTTGCCTCAGTTCTTCATCTGTAAAATGAGCTGGAGAAGGAAATAGTAAACCACCCCAGCATCTTTGCCAAGAGAATCCTAAGCAGCATCACAAAGAGTCAGACACTATTGAAACAACTGAATAACAACAAAAATTTTCGGGGAGCTCATTGCCTGAACAAAATTTTATACCTCTTGCTCCATGTTTTTTTTTTTTCCTTCCAATTCTTTCTTTCATAGCTCTCATTTCTTTTCCAGGTTTTTTTCATCAAAGACTGTCATGTCAGTTTTCATGGTTTTTAATGTTTTTATTTATATTTTCTTTCTTATATCATCATGTTATCTCAGTTATTCCTCCCACTCCCAGAAAGTCATCCCATTTAACAAATAGTATTTTTCAGAGAGGAAAAATAATTAGCATATCTGATCAATATATAGAAAAAGCCTGAAACCATGTGCAATGTGTTACACATTGTTGTACAGTAGACCTCTCACTTCTACTAAGTAGTGATTTGGGGTGCCCTACCATATCTTTGCATATGAATACTGTTTCATTTTTATAATTTTGTTGCATTTACTTTTGATTTTTTTTCTGTGTAGTTATTCCTATTTATATACACAATAGTTATTGTGTGTATTTATTTTCTTAACTTTGTTTAATTAGCTCCACATTATTTTTATTTTTTATCGTATTTATGATTTTCACTTTTATATTATTTTTATATTATAAACCTTCCCATGCCTTTCTATATTCATCACATTCATCATTTCTCACAACATAATAATATTCCATTATATTCATGTGCCACAATTTGTTTAGCCAGTTCCCAATTTATGAGCATCTCTTTTGTTTCTGATTTTATGCTATCACAGAAAATACTGCTATAAATATTTTGGAGTATATAGGGACCTTCTTCTTATTGATGACTTCATTGAGGTATAAACCAGTAATGAAGTCTCTGGTTCAAAGGGTATGGACATTCTAGTCACTTTATTTGCATAATTCCAATTTTCCCCCAAAATGGTTGTACCATTTCACAGCTCCACCAACAATGTATTATATTCTCCAACTCCTCTAACAATGACTATTGCTATTTTAAAAATAATTTTTGTCAATTTGCAAAGTGTTAGGTGAAACCTCAGGATTCTTTTGATTTGCATTTCTCTGACTATTAATGATTTAGAGCATTCTTTTATGTGGTGGTAAATACTTTGCAATTCTTCTTTGGATAACCATATCCTTTGACCACTTATCTATGATGGAATGGCTGTAAGTATATACATATATGTATGATATTATATATACACACATTCATGCATATACACACATATACATAAATATGTTTTTTTGAATATATATATATATATATTTTTTTTTACCCCCCTTGGATACTGAACCATTAGCAGAGAAACATTAGAAAGATTTTTCGCCATCCAACTTCTTTTCTTATTCTAGGTATATTAATTTTATCTCTGCAGAAACTTTTCAGTTTCAAGCACTCAAAGATATCTATTTTTTTCTTTTGTAATTGTCTCCACCAAAGCAGCTATAATTGCAAGAGATGTATAATCTGTTTCTTCTAATTTTTTATAGCAAGATTTTTAACATTAAGGTCACATATCCATTTAGAATGTATGTGAAATATGGTGTAACGTGTAGGTCTA